CTGGGAGATCAGTTTTCTCTTGCATTTGGCCTTCAGACTTGGACCGGAATTCACACCATTGGCTTTCATGGTTCTCAGGCCTGTGGACTTGGATTGAAACTATGCCATTTTTTTTCCTGGAACTGGACTTCTCAACCTCCACAATCACATGAGTCAATTCCTTATAATAAATACTTTTACCTGTCCATGTATCTCTCCATTATTCTAAATATCTATCTATCTATCTATCTATCTATCTATCTACATTCTATTGGTTCTGTTTCTCTGGAGAGTCCTGACTAATAGAATCCCCAAAGACAGTGTGTTCTATGCTAACCTCTGGGTTCTGCCTCTAGTTTGTGCTTATTTTCTTTAGTTTGTTACATATCTGTCTTCCCCTGTGAGCTTCTATATTGGGCACCTTCCTGTTTTTGGTGCCATGAAGTATTCTGCTAGCCTGGTGAAGCTTAAGGACCCTGATCTCAGAATCATGCTTTTGTCTGCATATTATACAATACACAGGTTTACAAAGAAACTTAATTATATTGAAATGCAGTATTAAAATATTAAAAAATAAATTGGAACTGAGAATATGGCTCAGTGTTTGCCGAGCACTTGCCTAGAATGTGTAAGGCCCTGGATTCCATTCCTAAGAGTGGACAAAAAGAAAAAAAAATTAAATTAAATTGCTCTACAATAATAGGTACTTCATTTTCATATTAAATAACAAAATCCCTTGGCAGACATAATAATTGCCATGATTTTGTAGTAGTGATGAACATAAATGATATTTTGAAGTATTTGTTACATCATCAATGTGATATGTTAATTTCTACCACCTCTCCTGGTGACAAAGTCAGAGATACAGTTAATACTACTGTGGTGTTCTGCCTACATTCATAACTGAATGACATGCTGAATTTCATTTAAGGCTGATAAAAATAAGGGTATAGTTTTCCTCCAATTGAATATCACAGAATCTCTGGATTCTATAGCAGAATACCCCGAGAAGTCTTCTGTTCTTTTATATCAATCTGCTCTTCTCTCAAGAGTCCAATATGGACCAGTAGAAAGCAGGTGATACAAAAGTATTTGCAGAGTTTCACTATCATGCAGACATATTGAGTCCAAATTAAGCTGCACTGAGTGGATTTAGGTTGTATTTAAACTTACAATAAAAAAGAGGAAGAGGGGTGGGGATGTGGCTCAAGCGGTAGCGCGCTCGCCTGGCATGCATGCGGCCCAGGTTCGATCCTCAGCACCACATACAAACAAAGATGTTGTGCCCGCTGAAAACTGAAAAAAAAATAAATATTCAGAAAAATTCTCTCTCTCTCTCTCTCTCTCTAAAAAAAAAAAGAGGAAGAATCAGAGAAGGATAAAGGATTAAAAAAAAACAAAAACAGAAAGTAATACTATCTGACCAAGGTGCTTAAATGTAGTGCCTCATTTCTTGTTTTGCCAGTATCTAAACCCTAATGACTATGATAAAAATTGCTGGGAACATCTTAATTTGTAAATCAAATAAACCAAAAATCCTCACTTTTAATGTTACCCCCCAGACTTATTATATGTATATTTCCCTTAAAACTAACTTTGTTAAATAGCAATATCTTTAGTAATAGAAGCTTTACAGTCTTTTGGGCTGGATCTTCCAGAAATAATTCTGAGATGTACACTTGTGTACAAGTGACTTCTGAAGTACTCTCAGAGAAATCTGTAAGGGAGAAGGGGACGCAGGGGAGAGTTGCCTGTCACTTGTAGCTCTATGGGAAACACCAGTCACCTAAAGACAACTGATTTAATCCTAAAGCCAACCGTATAAGGTAACTACTATTATTATTTCTATTTTGTCAGATGGGGAAATAGATTTATCTATGGAAGCTTCTTGTCTAAAGTAATCGAAAGATTTCATGATGCATCTAAGATTTGAATTCTGGATGTGTGATTCAACAGCATGTACTCTAAACATCTTGCCACCCACTTTGGGATGACTTCTCAATACATGAGGCCATTAAGGGTGGCTGAGTCTGAGTCACCCAGCCTAAGCTCCTGTCTTGAGAGCTCAGACCAAAATGAGACAACATATCTAATGCAGTTATACAGGACACTCAATAAATATTAGCCACTGTTATTATTAAAGAAGGGGAAAAAACATAGCTTTAAAACACCTATTTTCTATAAAAGTGTCTCTTGGATCTATAGAAGCCTTTTTTCTGCTACTCTCAAAAGTTTGAAAAATCCAGGAAATTAGTGATGGTATTCTTGACAGCTCTGTTGTAAATTACACAATTGGCTTTATTCATTTATAGTTGGTAAGAAGACAAGGAAAAAATAAAATGGGAAAAGAGAAGAGGGAGTATAATAGATTATTTCAAAAAGTTATTGAGAATGACAGTAACAAATATTCTGAATAAAATCCCATTTGTTATATTTCAATGCTTCCCAGGATCTGGTATTAAATTATTTCTTCCTAGGGAATGATTTTTAATTTCCCTGAGAATGTCACCAATAAGTTAATACATCATCCCCCATAAACAATGTCACTTTCTGCAGTGCATTACACAATTTATTCACTTTTGCAACTAGACTACACTAATGCCAAAAATACAATTCCTGATTTCTTTACAATAATTAACTGCACTTGAATTCTAGGCCTCGAAAAAGGACAATAATTTTAATCAAAACCTTTGGTTTCTATAAGATTGGTTGAATATCTTGGAAAAGTAGAAATAAAGTCTCTGTACTTTTAACTATGAAATAAATATCAAGTCAAGAATATTTTGATGTAGTTCCAATTCTAAGGATCCTACTTGCTTCAGGAATAGTGAATATTTTTGTAACATGTGAAGATAATTTTATGACAAGTTTTATCCTCAAGTAAAATAAGTTTCATGAGCTGGGGGTGCAGCTCAGTGACAGAGTTTATGTTTATCATGCTTATCATGCACAAGGCTCTGGATTCAATCCTCAGCACCAGAAAATAAAATAATAAATATAAGACTCAGATTATTATTTGGGGAGCCACAAAAGACCAAAAAAGTACACCATGCACAGTTGGCAGTTATTGAAGAGGGAATTTCTTTATATTAATTTTTATGTATAACCTCTCTTCTGGGGTGAGGCGTAATAACCAGTACAGGCAGCAACCAATGACAATGGGTATTGCAACTAATCATAATGATGATATGACAATTCAGAGCAGATGATGCAACCAATCAGAGTGGATGCTGGCTGACACACAGGTGAGGTCATACCTGGGAAACCAACTAAATATCAGCCCTGCCTAAAATGTATGTGAAACCCAACTGTATTCATATTGCTCAACTCCATTCACATAGAAACTTATGTCAATAAATTCAACTGACTCGGGAGTTACCATGGGAACTTTTCACTATCCAGATCCCTTTCTTCTTCTCCCAGGTGTGGGTAAAGGCAAAGTTCCAATAAGACTGACCTGAGAAAGGCATTACAAATAAATAATAACTCATGTTTATTGAATACTCAGGTACCAAGCATTGCACGTGTATCATCTTTCTTGATAATTACCTTTCTTCAACAATCCTGTGAGGTACTATTCTTTTTTTGGTACCAGGGATTGAACCCAGAGGCACTGACCCACATCCCCAGCCCTATTTTGTATTTTATTTAGAAACAGGGTCTCACTGAGTTGCTTAGGGCCTCGCCATTGCTGAGGCTGGCTTTAAACTCATGATCTTCCTATCTCAGCCTCCCGAGCTGCTGGAATTACAGGTATGCGCCACCACGCTTGACTTATTATCTTTGTTTTACTGATGAGAAAGCAAGGCATGAAGAAATTGAGTAATGTGTTTTCAGCTTTCTGTTACTATGACAAAATATCTGAAACAATCAACTTAAAAACAGAAAGGGTTTATTTTGGCTCATGATTTCCACCCATGGTGGCTTGGTCCAGTTGCTTTTGGGCTTTGACAAGGCAATACACATAGTGGGTGCATGTGGCAGAGGATGCCTATTTACCTCACGGTGACCAGAAAGCAAAAAAAAAAAAAAAAAAAAGAGATTGGTGTCCCACAATCCCCTTTGTGGGCACAACCCCAGTGACATAAGTCCTCCCACTAGGCCACATCTCTCTCTTTTTTAAAATTTTTTAAAATTTATTTATTCTAATTTGTTATACATGACATCAGAATGCATTTCAATTCATAGTACACATATACAGCACAAATTTTCATGTCTCTGGTTGTACACAAAGTAGATTCATACCATTTGTGTCTTCATACATGTACTTGGGGTAATGATGTCCATCTCATTCCACCATTTTTCCTACCCCCATGTCCCCTTCCTTTCCCCTCCCTCCCCTTTGCCCTATCTAAAGTTCCTCCATTCCTCCCATGCTCCCCCCCACCATCCTCATTATGTATCAGCATCCTCATATCAGAGAAAACATTCGGCCTTTGGTTTTTTGGGATTAGCTTACTTTACTTAGCATTATATTCTCCAACTCCATCCATTTACCTGCGAATACCATAATTTCATTCTTCTTTAGGGAAGAGTAATATTCCATCGTGTATATACACCACAGTTTCTTTATCCATTCATCTATTGAAGATAGGCCCCATTTCTTATAGTTTCTAACACCTCTCATGAGCACCAAGCTGGGGACCATGACATTAACATATAGGCCTTTGAGGAATAGTCAAGATCCAAATCATAGCAAATAACTTGCTCAAAGTCACACAACAAATACATACCAGGGTTGTTAAACAAACTTGAGTATCGTTCTTCTTAGGTATTAGTTATGATGTTGTTAGCAAATGAGCGCTCTCACTAACACCATATGATTCAATGGAGTTCATGTTCCTATTTTAGTAATTGCTGAAATACCGAAGATGTTTTCTAATATTTGGTCCACTATTGGGAACCCATAACGTCCCTGACAAACATCTGCTTCCAATGTGGTCACACTTACCCTATTTCTGATTTAAATTGCTTCAAACAGGAAACAGTCAAGGAGGGAGGAAATGATAAAAGGGTCTTACCTTATTCTCTTGTCCTCTACTTTTTTCAAATATTCATCTCTCTTTAGGACTCCCAGGATCATTTCCTTCTCATGATCTAATAAGAATGACAGATTGATCAATTCCGAATTCTTAGACATGATATTTCAGTGGCAGCTGTGAGTAGGACTCACTGGTTGAATCTTCCAGAGGGTGAAATGATGTGGACGATTGCTGAGGTTCCCCCTGGCCAACTCAGAGTCACTCAGTTCAAGTTTGGTGAAAGTAGTTTTTATAAAGTCTCTGCAGAATTGCTGATGGTGGCTAGATAGTCTTCCAGGATACACAGAAAACAGACTCTACTGGAATTGTGTTCCAAGAAAGTCATTATTGTTTTAACTAAAAAAAAAGAAAAAAATTTCCAAAGCTTTACTGTGATGTGTAGTCAGACAGCGGCTGAATTTCACTAATGATGCTCAACTTGGGTTCTTCAGAAAGCTGCAAAGCAGGATTCAGATCCCCTGGGACAGAATGATTAAAATACTGAAAAGGTGGAAGAAACAAAAGAGAAAAATTAATTAGGCAGTTTTCCCCACAGCACTTGTAAAACAACATAATTTTTGAAATACCAATGTACCTAACACAAACAACATTTTTAAAATCAGCAAACATGCATTTATTAAATACTTATTTCATGTTTTGTTTTTTAAACCACAAAATGGCATTGAGTTGATTCCAGGCCCTCCATGCAAATTCAGTTTCTTCTATTATAATTGGCTTCCTCTGACAGCCAGATCCTATCATCACTCTTGAAGCTGGATTGGGTCACCACTTTGGGACACTAAATGCACATCCTGGATGGTCCACGACAGGTCAGGACCCTTTAAGCAGCTCCCTCCTTCTCTCCCCCCACCAAACTCGGGCCATAGGCATAAAAAGCACAACTGGTGAAACAAGTATAAATACATACTATGTATCAATCTAAATAGATCTCACAAACAATGAATGAAAATGCTTCATTTACAGAAGAATTCATGCAGAATGACTGCAATATGAAGGCTATATCTTGTACCTTTTATTTTATTTAATTTAGAACTACATACATTAGTAGTATAAATATAGGTAAATTCAGGGGAAATTCAAGATCCTGATTACTTTCATATAATCACAGAGGAGAACACAGGGCCTTCCCCTATACTGGGTAATGTTTTACTCATAAGAAGGGCTTTATTTCTCATGATTTATGCAGTTGTTTGTGAATTATCACAAATATGTAGTATATATATATATGTAATATATATATAATTATCACAAATATGTAATATATATAATATGATATCTATATCTATATCTATCTATCTATCTATCTATCTATATATATATATATATATATATATATATATATATCTGTTGAGAGCCACAGCCGAAGGGGCCCCAGCAAACTTCCAGCTGCCAGCAAACTTCCAGCTGCCGGCTGATGATTGGCTCACAGCGGCCCCAGCAACATCTAGCTGATTGGCTCCTCTGCGGTGATGCTCATTGGGCTGTTTCCCTGCCCTTTCAGACCATGGAGATGCTCATTGGGGGACTTTTTTGGCTCCGCCCACGTGACCCAGCCAATCGGCCTCAAGAGCAGGAGGATTGTGGGAGGTGGAGAGAAGCCTGTGTGGGAGAGAGAGGCTTGGGGGAAGCCGGTGGTGGCAGTTGAGGCTCTGAGGGTTTTTCCTGAGAGGCTGTTTTGTTTGGCGTGTGTGGTTCTAAAAATAAAGTTAGTTTCTTTTGACAAGTGGCTCCTGATTGTGCCCAGCCAGACTGCGGCATTTGGTGGCTCGCACGGGGAGCGACTGAGGGTAAGTGAAACTGCTCGCCCCTGAGGGTAGGGCGAGAGGATGGGTAGCCATTTTAAGATTCCTCTTTTATTTTGCTTCACTTTTGTTTTAAGTTGCCTGTCCCTGGAGATGAGTGAGACAGAAGAAAAACCGCTCACATCTGAGGAAAAACTATTTACGTCTGAGGAACAGATAGGGAGAAAGGACGGATGCACATGTCAGGAGGATAGAAAGGCTATAATGACTTTTTGTTGTTCCCTTTTTATTTCATTCTGTCTCGGTTTTGTTTGGCGTCATCTTGTTGGGTTGTATTATAGTAGAAATACGGGATCAGAAATTAGTAAAAAACAAACTGAAAGAGTGTTAAGTAAATTGTTAGAGGAAGGAGGCATCTCAGTAAAATCAAGAACAGTCAGGGCATACGTTGATACAATACAAAAATGTAGCCCATGGCTTTTTAAGGAGGAGTTGTTAAATACATCACAATGGAACCATCATGGTGAAGATTTAAAAAGAATAGAAAAGAAATGCCCAGGGACTCTGCCAGTTGGCACATTGCCATTGTGGACGTTCGTATCTTGTTTGCTTAGTCCAAAGCCTTCAGTTCAGACAATGGTAGAGGAAGGAGAAGACATATTGATTCAAGTAAAAGAGAAGGTCTCTCAAGTTAGTCAGACAGAGGAAAAGATTCAAGTAAAAGAGAAGGCCTCTCAAGCTAGTCAGACAGAGAAAGAAAGTGTAAAACAGAAAAAGCCATCAGGGGGAAAGTTACAACAGGAGACTGCTACTAACACCTTTCTATCACCAGAAGGTGTAACTGTCCAACCAACAGCACCACCTCTACAGGAGACTGCTACTAACACCTTTCTATCACCAGAGGACGTAAGTGTCCAACTAACAAGGCCACCTCCATATGCTGGGAGGTCCCCAACCCCCGCAGTTGATAGTTGGGATCCTGAGACAAGATCTCAAATATTAACATGCCCTGTATTTGAGGCAGGAGGGCAGCGAGTTTACCATGTTTTAAATTTCAAAACAGTGAAGCAGCTAAAAGAGGCTGTAACAACCTATGGTCCTCAAGCACCCTTCACTGTAAGCATGGTCGAATCCATTAACAACTTGAACATGACACCAGCAGATTGGGCTAATATGTGTAAAGCTGTGCTAAATGGAGGACAATACCTGTTATGGAAGGTTGCCAATGAGGAATTTTGCAAGGAGACGGCTAGGCGAAATGCAGCAGCTGGTTATCCTCAGAGAAATCTAGATATGTTGTTAGGAAAGGGACCTTATGAGGATCAGCAGCAACAAATTGCGTATGATCCTGGTGTATATGCACAAATTGCTGTAGATGCAATTAAGGCATGGAAGACTTTACAAGGACATGGAGGTTTACAAGGTCAGTTATCTAAGGTAATACAAGGAGCTAATGAACCTTATGCTGAATTTGTAGATAGGCTTATTCAAACAGCTACCAGAGTTTTTGGAAATACAGAACAAGCAATGCCATTACTAAAACAACTGGCTTATGAGCAAGCGAATTGTTGGTGCAGAGATATCATTAGACCATGGAAACATGAAGATTTAAACACATATATTAAATTATGTAGAGACATTAATGAACAAGAGCAAGTCATGGCAGCTGCAGTCAAACAGGCTTTAAATGCCAGAGACATTAATGAACAAGGGCAAATTGTGGCAGCTGCAGTAAAACAGGCTTTAGATGCCAGGCCAAGAACATGCTACAATTGTGAACAAACAGGACATTTTAAAAGGAATTGCCCCATTGGAGGAGGGTTTAACAAAACTAGGTATCAAAGGAGTAGAATACCAGGTATTTGCCCACGATGCCGTAGAGGGAGACATTGGGCTAATGAATGCCGTTCTCAAACCACCATAGAGGGTACTCCATTATCAAAAAACGAACAAGGACCAGGTGTTTATCCACGATATCGTGGAGAAAGGCATCGGGCTCCATTGCCAAAAAATGGACAGGGGGGCCCAATGCTCCGGGGCCCAAAACCACAAATATACAGAGCACTGGAGGAACCCAGCAACCCCATCAGGGTAGTGCCCAGGACACATTGTCCATCAGATCCCTCATCAGACAAACCAGAGGGAGCGCAGGGTTGGACATCTGCACCTCCGCCAGAGCAGTACTAACTCCAGAGATGGGAGTTCAAATCATTCCCACAGGGCTGAAAGGACCTCTTCCCAAAGGAACAGTAGGCTTATTATTGGGACGCAGCTCTTCTACTCTAAAAGGACTTATGATAAGTCCTGGGGTAATTGATCCCGATTATGAAGGTGAAATAAAAATTATAGCCAGTTCTCCAAAGGGTATATCAGTAATTTCACCAGGAGATAGAATAGCACAGTTACTAATAATACCCAGCCTACATGATAAATTTTCCAGTCGTACTGTAGAAAGAGGTTCCAAGGGATTAGGCTCCACAGGTGTAGATTGGGCTATGCTTTCTTTAAATTTAGATTCTCGCCCCATGCTAAAACTAAATATTCAAGGACATGAATTTAATGGGCTACTGGATACAGGTGCAGACCTTAGCATCATCTCTCGTCAAGAATGGCCAAAACATTGGCCATTACAACAAGCCACTCAAACGCTTCGAGGCCTAGGAGTGGCAACTAATCCCCATAGAAGTGCAATGGTATTATATTGGAAGGATCCTGAAGGATGTGAAGGAACTATACAGCCATATGTATTGGATCATCTTCCCATAAATTTATGGGGACGAGATGTCCTAGATCAATTAGGTTTGACATTAACAAATAACATCAACCAAAATGCACCCACTATTATGACTAGACAAGGTTTTAGGAAAGGAAAAAGATTAGAAAAACAAGAACAAGGTATAGCAGCACCAATACAAATAGATCAAGGAACAGACAGACATGGGTTGGATTTTCAGAAAGGGCCACTGAGACAATAAAAATTACTTGGAAATCAGAAAGACCAGTATGGGTTCCTCAGTGGCCCCTGACTAAAGAAAAGATACAAGCAGCCCATGACCTGGTCAAACAACAATTAGCAGAAGGACATATACAACCTTCTGTATCTCCCCATAATACTCCCATTTTTGTCATCAAAAAGAAATCTGGTAAATGGAGATTACTGCAAGATTTAAGAGCCATTAATAATGAGATGGTTATTATGGGACCTGCTCAATCGGGGATTCCTCAGTTGTCTGCTTTGCCAAAAACCTGGTATGTTTTAGTTATAGATATTAAAGATTTTTTTTTTCAATTCCAATTCATCCTGAGGATAGTCCACGTTTTGCATTTACTATCCCTGCACTGAATCATGAAGGTCCTGATCAGAGATATGAATGGAAAGTACTCCCTCAAGGGATGGCTAACAGCCCAACTATGTGTCAAATTTATGTTAACAAAGTAATCCAGCCACTTAGAAATCAAAATCCTGAACTACAAATATTTCACTATATGGATGATGTATTATTAGCACACAAAGATAAAAACACATTGCTAGAATGTTATGCCACACTTACAAACTTATTAAAAAATTATAACCTAGAGATAGCAATAGATAAAGTACAAATAAATTTTCCAATTAATTATTTAGGAGTTCTATTATCCTCAACCATGGTCCGTCCACCAAAAATTCAAATACGAGTAGATCAACTCAAATCACTTAATGACTTTCAAAAGTTATTAGGAGACATAAATTGGATAAGG